GGGGGGGTGTGTTATCGTCTAAAGAAAAGTTGAGATGAAAACTGCTTCCTTCCAGAGCAGAGAGAAAAATACTCTCTTTTACTTTTAGCTTCCAAAGGTACAAATGTGCAGTACTGCTGAACATCTATATGAAAAAACGTGCACCATGACTTGCACTTCTATACCTTAACAGAGATTTTTATTAGCAACAACTCAAAACTTGCTAATAATAATAATATCAATCTCAAGTTTGTAAATGCACCTTTTAACAACTAAACGAGCGGAACTGACCACAAGTACCATACAAAAAGACCTTATCACTCACAGACTTACACGAAATTTGAAGGCCATGTCAAGCAACGCAAATTGGACTTAGATCAATTCATGAATGATTTAACTTATTTTTATAGTTATATGTATTTTTATATACCCCAATCTAAAATTTCTGCTGCAAGATACATAAAGCCAGGAGCATACATACAGGCAAGTTTCAGAAAATGAATATTAAAATTGCAACACATTAACAATGTAGTGAGCTGATCAAACCATTTCTATTATATAAAAGGCTGCACTGACAGCACAAAAAAAGCAGTTTGTAAAGGAAGCACATGGTCTACAATAAATATCAAATGCTTAGAATTTTCAAAGAGCCATTCATTCCCATTTTAGAAGAAGTAACGCATTCATGATCATGCCTTGAAAACTCTTTCGTTAAAATTCCCAAAACACCTTGCCATATATAGAAGTAAAAGAGGAGAGTGAGAGAAAGTAGTATCACTATTGCTTTTAAGTAGTTAGGTGCCAAATCTACACAGGCATACTACAGTGCCATACTATTATTAGTACTATCTGAGGCAAAAGGATGAGACAAAAACAAAAGCCAGCAGACTGAGGCCATGGGAACAGACAGACAAAACCTACTGTTCACGAGCACTCGCCACCACCATTAGTCATTTTCAGAGCAAACTTGTAACCACATTAGTGCTTGGTTAGGGACATGTGCACAGACACAGGGACTGACGTCCGTGTAAGTGCAGTAAAGGTATAAGTATCCGGTTAGCATCTACAATAGGAAGAAGACTTTCCAGTAACATGAGGGTCTAGCGACTGGCTGGATACCGTTATCCATATAGAAATCTACAAAGAGAAAATCGTTGAAAATACTTACACTCTCCAATGAACATTACATAGCAGTTATATATACAGACACTTGTACTGGACGAGTACGCAAGGTGTGACCATACGTCTTAGAACAGGACACAAAGCAGCAACTACAGAGAAAAGCAAGCAGACTAGGATGGTGGCGAGTGGGGGGAGGGGGGTAAGAGTGCCGGGGCACGGGAGAGGGGGGTTGGGAAGGTTGACGAGACAGGCGGTGAGCGAGCTCGGGGTACGACAAGACCTGCACAGCTACTGCTGCTGTTGCTCCAAAGTCAACTGCCACCACTGGCTCAGGCTGGACCGGCTCGTGTGGGCTAACTCACTCCCACTTTTCCACACTCAGGAAGAACTAAGAAATATGTCTAAACAACCCAGTATGATGCATTTATTTTTAACATTCACAAGTTGTGAAGGAAAGCATTAGGGCACTTAACAACAGCTACTGTATGTTCCCCATTAGGGGACTGAGATGGTAAATTGATTTTAAAAAACAGACCTGCCGAGAGTCTTGAAATTGGGAGAGCCTTCCGACAGAAAGAACCTTTGACAATAACCTACCACTTTCACTTAAATGACTACACTAGTTCTTATTCAATGAGGAGAACACTGACAAAAAGGATAACATGGTCACTTCAGAAATGAGGATGATATCCACAACTCCCAGCGCAACACTTACAGCAAGCTTCATGCCCCGGCTGACACGGACACGAGAAATGATACAACCGAACCGCTTGAGATCGGGAACATCCGAGAGCCTCCAGTCCTTCTACAGTTAAAGCAGCCGAGACAGAACATTGAGTACAATATTATTGCCCCCACGATGAGGATCATCGGTCATAGCAGTCGACATCTCTAGCTAGCCTGGGTACAGGAGGTAGAGTAATGTCCACACATGCACTCACTTAAAATACAAGAAAGAAAATAGACAACAAAATGAGGGGCCCAAATCCTATCCATTCTAAATCTTTGAGATCGAGTAATTGCTTCATAGTGACTGTCAAACATAAACCAGCCTCTCCCAAAAAAAGTAAAAGACATCGTCAAAGAACGAGCCTAGGTCAAAAGATTTTACTACCAGCATTTATTTGAGAGTAGAACGGAAGTCAAAAGCACAGGAGAAACATAACTTACTGCAGACAAAGCCAAACAAATGAGAAAGAAACCAAAGCATGGTTGGTATCACTATCACCTTAACTGGCAACACAGGTTCATGCTTCCTCAAAATCATTCCCACTGGATCACATGATGAAACCACTACCCGATAACTGCTCTCTGTAGATAAGGCTGATCCTACAGTGACAGATATAGGCGAAAAAAACGCTATCAGGGACAGCAGATATCCCTTCGCTACCAGTTTCTGAGATGATGCAGACAATAGCCATGACATACACCAAAGATGGAGTGAAATACTGGCCAAAAAATTGTGCTCACAACACAAAAAAAAAGTTTTTAAATTCAGAACAGCTAAGCAAGATGAGACCATTGGTTCCAAAAAAAAAAAGAAAAGAAAGAACGGGCACGCTACATGAGACCATGGAGCTACCATGGTAGTGTACAGACATTGAGAAAGAGAGAGAGAGCGAGATATACCACATGCTTCTTGCAGATGGAGGACAAGGCTAGGCTCACATTGCACCATGCAGTGAGGGGGGACGATCACGGCCCAGAAAAGATTGCACAAGAACATTAGGGCAAACCCATACCATGCACACAGCGCAGCCAGCTGCCGCTATCTATGGCAAAGCCACAACAATGTCTGTCACAGACAAAGATGATGAATCTTCAGGCAATGGTGGTGGTGGTGGTGGTGGTGGTGGTAGTGACGGTAATGGTGGTGGCAGATTTTTGGGAAATGAACCAAACCACCAACGCTTGATGATGACACAAAGAGGGGGAAAACCCTCAAGAAGAAACACAGAATTGAGAAAATGAGGAAAAAAGTTTCCAACAGCCACAGATGGAAACAGAACATTTGGAAAAAACAGAACAGAGAAAAAAAATGAGAACATGATTCCCTTCCCCTTCAGTACAAACATTATTTGCTAAGAAATTATCACAAATATTAAGTTTTCTTCCAATTTCATGCACTGCACTATAACCTAACAGCAATTTAAAGATCTTATAACATCAAGTCTAGGGACAGGTGCAGAAAAATAGTTTCTTATTGTCTAATGAAACAAAGACTTCAGGTGAACATTTTCAAGAACTATCACTTTAGTCATTGAATCACATAGGCTTCCGCTGGGAAATGTGCTAAAGTGTAGTAGAATTTACTGGGGACAAATGTGTCATTCAGCAGTTGAGTGAGAAGAGAAACTACGGATGCCCATGTAATACAAACAAAACGATGGTTGGATGCAACACTCCTAGAAATGCCATTTTGCAATTAGACATTTTTCAGAGCCTTGAACCCAGCCATCAAAAAGAGACTGAAAATCCAGAGGTTTTGATCTTGAACAATCGTTGAGTCGGAAGAGAGGCTTCTCCCTGCTTGAAGAAAACCCATGCCTGGTACAGGTACAATCACCTCCTAAACAAGGGCAAGCCTGAGCAAACTACGAAGACAGTTTTCGACTGACGTGTTCGTGTGTCTAAACTTTGAAATGAGAGATTGGTGCATGGATTTACTTTAAGCTTTTGTTCAAGATCTCAACCTCCAGTCACAGAATGAGCAAGGGAAAAACCCCTACGACCCTAGAAAAAGTTCTCTATAAAATCTTAAAAACAAGTTTCAATAACACTGTCACAGACTGATACTAGATGCCAAGTGAATTAATTTTGAACTTGCACAAATAGAGGCAACAAAATGAATATTCATCCCGAGTTATAGCTAGGCAACCTACATCTTAAGGCAAGCCTTTCATCAAAGAAGAGGGTGAAATCAGCATATTCCATCACCATGAAGAAAAAAAAAACATTTTTTATAAAATAAGAAAAGGAAAAGGAATTCTAAGGAGGGGACAAAAGATATACAAATTTCCTACTGGTTTGGGAAAAGAAGAAACAAGGCCCAATTTAGAAAAATCAAAATGAAACGGAACCTCTCTTTACAACACCTTGGAATACTAGTCGAAGACAACACAAGAAAAACAAACCGTGAGGCAGGCCTCACCAAAAAAACGACTTGGCACCATAGCATCACCTCAGAAGAACCCAGTTATCCCACAACTACTAGACAGGGAAGAAGAAGTGGAGATGGGAAGAAGGGGAGGGGCAGTGTAGGGGGGGTAGTAAAGTAGTTAGTAGTGCGAGTTAGCCACACATACCGATCCGATTAATATCTACACAGCAGTGCCGGCGCACGGCGCTACACGCTGAAAGTGCGCGTCTTTGGGGACGAACCGAGTCCATGTCGGACCCGTTGGGGGAGCGCCTGACCAGGGCGCTGTGAGAGGAGGAGCGACGGGGGCGCTCCAAGGGCTGGCAGATGTCACGAGGGGTGGCGCTACCGAAACCTAACATGTGACCCCTCCCACCTTTGCGACCTCCGGCTTTCCAGGCTTCGTAGCGAGCCACACGCTCTTCCGCTTTCTGCAGGATGGACTCTCGACGAACCTGTGGAGCACATGGAGAACACTACATCAGTTCAAGAGCTGTATGCACCTTTTCTGTTAAAGTAAAAGTACAACCCCCCCATGTCTCTGCGAACATTGAAGATCACACAGCAAGCTGTTTCCTGATCCTATGACACATAGCACCAACCCCACTGTAACCCCCGGATCAGAGTGTAGAAGGTCAAGTCAATTCCAAATGGTCGGTAGGGGATGTCTCCAAGTTCATTTTTACCCATCATAATTTTGCACAGGATGATTTACTTTAGAGAGGTGAGACCTTTGATCTCAACAACTATCACTTTCGCTCCACATTCAAACTCTCCATACCCAGGTGTAAAGAGCCTTGTTAGCTAATAAGTTTCTGGCATACTTTTCCCCATGTACTGAGCTCCAACCACATAATACGGTCAAGAGTGATGCGATATGTATCACCTACATGGCGTCCGAAAAAAGACTTGAAACAAAAAAAAGAAAATTATACCAAAAGCTGTTTCATCTTGAAACAACAATTGTTTTTTTTTTCAGACATCCAAAGTCCTTCAGGAAAGGGAAAATGACCACTAGCATCCATAAAACTGTACTAAGAGTGACCAAAAAGGGCATGTTTTTTCTCAGATATGAGTTACAGAGCTTTGCACTACGCCAATACTAAGAAACAACATTCCTTCCACCCTACCCCCACAAAGTTTACAAAGTATCTTTAGCAGCAATTTTCTCACACAGTTTAAACAATAAAAATGAATATTTTTAACACCCACTCGATAGTAATCACACTTTCCTCCTCTAGTTAAGCCAATTTTAACTTAAAACTTACTTTAAAAGCAGGTGTGGTGGCAATGGTGTCACTTCAAAAATAAAACTTCAATGAGCACCAAACTAAAAAACACAGGCACAATAACCTGAATGTACTTTCCAGTGCACCCTACCTCTTAACTCCCGAGTGTGTCTCCAGGCAATACAAAATGTCACTGAAATGTTTGCACCCCGTGACCCAGAAGAAAGCAATATTGATTTTCAGGTCACAGTCTGGTGAGGGCTTTTTGGCTTTAGCCACCGGGATCATTACATCAGAAGGACCCGTATCTAAACAATGGATCGCACAAAAACTAACACATGTGAGAGCAATACAACTCCTTGATACAGAGGAGAGCCCAATGTGAAGTTTGGACCAATATGACATTCGATGACAAAGAACATCTATTAATAGAGCCAACCAAACTATCATTGCTCCTGACACCATCCAAATGTCAAACAGAACAAAAGGGGAGAATATTTTTTCTGACTTTCTGTTAGATATGTATTAGCTCTGGCTCAAGAAGATCATGCTTTATGATATATTCCATTGAAAATGAAACACATTTTCATAATAATCACTCTCTTTCATTTTTTCCCCCCTCTTTCTGTACATCGGCAGATGTTGGCAGATGTAACTAGCATCCACATCAACTCACAGTTCAGTGTACTACAGAACAAAAATAACAACAACAAAAACAACAACAAACAATTGGAAGGTGTAAAAAATCAACAGCCTCCTGTACTCACTCTTTCTATTTCCTCCTTCATCTTCCGTCTCTCTTCCACTGCAGCTCTGCGCTCCACATCCCTGCGACGTAAATCCTCGATCTTCTTCCTCCTCATCTCCAACTGCTTCTCTCGGTTCTCCTGGGCTATCCTCTGCTGCTCCTTCAACTCTTCCAGCTTCTTCCGTCGTTCTTCTGCCAGACGTTCTCTGGCCTGCCGAACTCGTTCTTCTTTCTCTCGTTCTTTGGCGATCTTCACCGGATCTGCCAGCATGCCAGCTGAGGACACATGACACAGAGGCATCATCAGCAAAGCATTAGAATGGACAGATATCTTTTTCACAAACCAAGTGAAGTAAGGGAATGAAATAAAAATTTTAATGCCTTCAAATACCTAGTCAAGAAAATTGATAGTTTGACTGCTGACAATGACGGCGGTTTTATGCGGGAAAGTTTACTCCAAGTGAGACACTCATCGAGATAGAGGCACAGCAAAAGTACATCTTTACAGTTACGTGATACAAAGACTGTGATACAACAGCAACTTGAGGAATATGGCACAATAGTCAAGAACTTGGTTGGCCCTGTCAAATTTAAGGCCAAGCACAACATTTGCCACTAATTTCTATAATCCTACCTTAACAAAAAGTCTAAAATCCAGAAAAAAAGCAAGGGTGAAGATACAGCATATCACATTTTTCAAAACCAGTAAGGACTCAATGAGAGAATATAAATATTGAGTGGCAATATTTTCCCAAAAAATTCATACAAAAGTGTCAACAAATGCTTCTCACTTTTTTGCTTACAGTGCTTTGATTTTTTTTGACTTGGCATGAAATGCTAAACCTACATGAGTGTCCAGACAAATCTTTTTTCAAAAGTTTACAATATCTAAATGACAAAAAAGCTCATAAATCTTAACTGCATGAAGCTTCAGGGGATAGCAAACTAAAAAGTCAAATCAAAAGCACACATTCTGCACTCCAAAGGGATCTCAAAGCCTGCACATTTCAAAAGCTCTTTTACACTACAACAATGCAAATGAGAAAGTATTACTATTACACATGGAAAATACAAGCATGTTTTTTTTTTCAATTTCACATCCTCACAAAAATAAAGATAAAATTATAATTACGGCAAATACATTGATTACCACACGAGCTGTGTGTGCAGAGTACTAGGAAGCACATAGGTGTGTCCGCCATGCTGTAAGACCATTGCTCCTGACGCAGGCAGGCACACACAAGGGCCAAATACTATCAGCAGTCACAGAGCAGCCAGCTCCTACATCAAACCTCATACTATTGTCGTGTGGGGTGACATTCATAAGCATATCTAACGAGCCAGTGCGACCATTAAACTGGTAAGAGATGATTGTGACTTATAGAAAGACGTGTGGCACCCCTCATTGACATAATCAAACTGGTAAGAGATGATTGTAAATTTGAGAAAAATGTGTCCACCCCCTCACCCACCCTATTTCCCCCTCAAACTGGTAGAAGAACTGGTGAAAGACTGACCAGAACACTGAAAGGATAGGAGAAGGCAGGAGGCAAACTCAACAAGAAAACCGAATGAGAAGCTCTGACTTGGGTGCAGGAAAAGAAAGCCACATTTACAAAGACAGCGTTACATAGGGTGAAGCATCTCATCTACAACACAGCCAATGACGACAAACAAAGCAGAAGACAAGTTCGCAAGAACATAGCACTACTCATTCCAGCATTTTTCTTATAATCTTTTTTTCTTCGATTTGACAAGAAGCACATCCTACACAAAGGAAAAAAAAAATACAGGGAACATTCATAAACGATGGGAAAGAAGCAAAACCTACCGGTACTTTGTGTAAGAAGATGAAGGCCTAGGGTGCTCAGTAAAAAATAAATGCCAGACAAAAATAGCAAAGACATGAGAGAGAAGACGAGTCTACTACCACTGAAGGACCCAAGTCTAAAATAGAGGCCAGCGAAAAATTTGCTTTAAGGTGAAAAACGTCCTTTCAGTAGACAGCAAGCCCATTTTTACAACAGATACAAACAGGAGTAACCAAAGAAGCATCAGAAATTTAACAAATTCAAATCACAAAGGACAAATAACATACACAGGAAGTATCTTTTGATTCTTAACAGTCACAATGAATGAACCTCTTTTTTTTTTCTTGAAACACCAGGGAGGGAACCGCCCCTTTCATTTCAGTAACGAATAATATTTTAACAATGTTTAAATCCTCTTCATATTTTGACTTTTCTGACTCAAAAGAACAAATCATGGAGAGATTCTTCCTACCAAAATACCAATCAGAAATTTTAAAAAATATCCCATCCCCAAACACTAACAAACAAAAGTAGTAACACAAGACATCTCGCATTATGTCACCTTAAACTGACACCCAACTCCATTCTCTATATTCCATCATTAAGTGACCCCGATTTCATCAGTAAACATTTCCACTGATACCTAATCAGAATATGTGTTCTAGTTGGCTCCCACACAGAGACTCAAATGGTAAATATAAAAAGAAAAAAAAAAGAGAGAGAGAGAGAAGACTAGTCATCTCATTTAAAAACCAGCTGACATCCACCCGGCGATTTATGTATTTGATAATCTAGGGAGGTTCCCTGGCTGTTGGCACCACTAGACTCATGACCTGGATTCACTTATGGTACATCATCAGTTCAAAAAAACAAAAACCCTGTCAGAATGTTACCCTTATCAGGTGTGTCATAATTAAAACAAAACATTACAAAAACACAATACCAAAACAAATATCACTTTTAAGATAATCATCGTCGTCAATGCCCTTGTTATTGTGATAAAAATTATTACTATTATCATATCTTTTTATATTATTATTATTGTTATTATTATTATTATTATTATTATTAATATTATTATTATTATTATCATGATTATTATTATTATTATCATCACTATTGTTATCATCATTGTTAGTATTATTACCACCACTTGCGTCATTATCATCATTATTATTATTGATATTATTACTCTATTATTAATGAGAAAAGAGGAAAATTACGCATCAGTGACTGTAAAGGAGACATACTGAAGAAGGCTATGACATATAGCACTGATGTAGTGTAAGGTAACATTTATCTTTTAGAACAGATTATGAAGCGAGTACATGAATTTGGTGTGTTGAAAAATAGCTCTCCTTTTTAACACTTCAACATGGTTGCAGTAATAGAATCAATAATTTGAGTATTTCCTCAAAACAAAGGTTTGTTTTTGTTTTTTAAACTTTCACAAAGCCATTTTATAGAAATAACAAAAAATGAACCAATGACTTATACACTACATAGTGAACTCAACGTGATTTCCCTGAAGGTGTCTTCCAGGCTTCGTACTGTTATTTTTCTTTTTAGTTCAGTCAAGCCTTTTCTGCCGTAAATAAAATGTAGGTGTTTTCACGCCCCCATCGGCACAACTCGGATCATTTAGCAAGAAGGTCTTTTGACTCTACCTGTCAGGGACAACCCCGACTGAGAGGGATACCTTCTCAGCAGAAAGGCGGGGATACTCCATAAAATTGCTCCCCACATGAGAATCAAACTCCTGTCTCCTACGTCCGACAGAGAACCTCTTAAAAGCTACACCACAGACGCCGGTAGTCGAGTTTTATATCTCTCTGAATACTGCATGGGTCATCTTAAAGTTAGAACCTATAAAGTATTTTCAGCCTAATTTGAACAGAGCTGGGAAACAAATAGGAGCCAGTAAATGCAATGCAACTTGATCATGACAACCCTTTTCATAAAAGTGCTCCTAACCTAAAAGCAACCCCCCCAAGAAATTATTTTTTTTAATTGATCCATTAAAACTAACCTGGCACAAAATGTACATAAATTTCTTTCAAATCTATAATCAAAATATTACATATTTTTAAAAAACCAACCGTAAACATATTCTTGATATATTCTCCAGTCACACAAGTTTTTTCCTCTGGTATCCCACACAGCTCCAGTCTGAGTGATATACAAGTTAAGTCCCACTACCCACATGGAGGCACACAGGGGCAGGCTGTATTCATCTTTCCCTCCCTCCCTCCCTGCCTGCCCCTGCCATATCACTAGGTGATTCACAGATTCTATTCATCTTTAGGCACAGCTGTGTTATCCTCCCAGGAAAACGTCTCATGACTTTATTGACTTTTTTTATTGACGTTTTTCTCTAAACAAAGACAGGACCCTACAACAGGGGCAGCACAGATGATGACTGTTTGGGGAAGGAGGAGGATATTTCAAAAAAGCAGATTTAAAGGGGCTGGGGGTGGGCACAGCTCAGATCAGAAGAAATCTGTATAGGGCCACAGCTGGGGGTGGGGGAGGGGGGGTTGTTGTTCCTCACTTAGGATTGGAAGCAGCAGTGGAGAGTGGGAGGGCCATCATGGCAACAGAGGAGAAAAAATAAAGCTACCTGGCTCTGAAGGACCAATTAAATCCCAAGCACTCTGGGTTCTCCTCTTTTTGAATTCTTTATTGATTGGGCCTTGTCTATACAGCACAGTCAGACCAACTGGGAAAGACCCCCAACGCAGGGAATGAACAGATGGCATAATAAACTCACTGTGTTGAATTTAATTTTCTATGTAAGAGTGAGGTTTCAAGGTTTTAAAAAGTGCTTAATACCTTTATTACATCAAACACCGGATCATTTATCCTAATGAAAAACAATAGGCATAATTTACCTTCTTCATCTTGCTTCTTTTTTCAAAATGTTACCTTTATTTTGAAAAAGAAAAACAACTGGGCTCTTTTTTATTCGAGCAATCACTGTCCCATTCCAAATAACACTCAAAAACAAACCACTATTTTAACAAAATAAACAGTAACAGCTGTATATGGCACAAACTAGTGTATGTGGTATGTGTGTGTGTTTCAAAACTTAGGGTTAAGGCAGAAAAGTTCCAGGCACCATGCAGCAGGCACAAAAGTCTCGGAGGAGGAGGTGGTGCAGCAGTCGACACAGAAGGAAAAACCAAAAACTCTTTGTGTATTACCTCGCGCCTTGAAGGCCACCGTATAACCTATGGTACTACCACCCTCAGAGGTACCAGTAGTAGCACAAGCAGCCTCACCCTTTGTGCTGCTGGCCCCGCTGGCACTACCGTCCCACGAGGTCTTCATGTCCAGCGAGCTCAGGTCCCCGGCCCCCACCACCGGCGACCCCTGGAGGCCGCTGCGGGCCGAGCTGAGGGGGGTGGATTGGGCCGAGGACTTCTTGTCTCCCCCGCGCGGGGTCGACTCGGCACTGCTGTCGAAGGAGATGGTGCTGCTGCCACCGTCGCCAGGACCTTTGAGCAGCTGCTCACCTGAGGAGATTCAGTCATTCTGTACAGTAAATCTCTTTCCATACAAGTATTAGTTCAGTATAGTTTAAGTAAGGTTTTACATCGATCGCAACTGCATAAGATCATATGAGCAAAATGGGGTGGATGTCAACAGAGAAGTCCAAAATGGGGAATCAGGCTTACTCTGCTCACCTCTCTAGCCTCAATAGCACAAAGTTTGCTTTGACTATCAAGGGCCCCCGGAAATAGCAGTTCACAAGAGAGTGACAAACATACAAAAGAAGAAGAGGAAAATGACTATAGAAAAGATGAGGAAAGAAAAAGCAGCCCCCCTATATTGTTCAGGGACAGTATGAGCACGACATTGATAAATCAGCCCATTTAAAATTCTACTGTGCATAAGAACATGTTAATATCCTCCCTTTGAGAACGGCCTAAAGACACTTCAGTCAGTACCACTGCCTTGGGGGGGGGGGGGGGGGGGG